GGGCACCTGTGGTCCCAACTACTTGGGAGGCAGAGGCAGCAGACTTGCTTGAGCCCAGGAGTTGGAGGTTGCTGTGAGCTGTGATGCCACAGCACTCTAGCCAGGGGGACAACTTGAGTCTCTGTCTCAAAAAAAAAAAAAAAGGGGGTTACAAATCTGAGGCCTTTTAGGGGCTTTTAGGCTTTTGACTTTAGAAAGTTGTCAGATGCAACTAGGACCAAAATCTAACAAGTGCTTGTTTATTTTTTTATTCCAGTTAAAGTCAAAAATTTACAGAAGAAAAGGTGAGACCCTTGCCTGGAGACTCTTAGAGGGTGGTTTTGGGACAGCAGGTCACTTTCCTGCCTGGTGGACAGTCCACCCCAGACAGTACCTCATGGTGGGAGGGCCATATAATAGAAACAGGTTCTGCCATTTATGAAACCCCTACTGTGTGCTGAGTACTGTGCTAGGATACCCTGATGTCGGAGCTCACTTTATCCTCACAGTAGCCCTGAAAGCAGGAACTGTGAACAATCCCATTTTACAGATAAGGGGAGGCTCAGGGCTATCACACACTGAGTGGCTAAGACTTTCTTGCATCCCTTTGCCACTGGCTGCCAAAACTTGTCCCAATCATTTCATTAACGCCAGATATCCATGGTAATAGCTGGGCGTTGTGGCGGGTGCCTGTAGTTTCAGCTACTCAGGAGGCTGAGGCAAGAGAATCACGTAAGCCCAAGAGCTGGAGGGCGAGTTTCTGTGGATCCTCCTGAGATTGTACAGTGTTCAACTTATAACCATAGCCAGTATTCTGGGGGCACCAGAATGTCCCAGTTGGTCCTGGCCTTAGTTTCTTTCCTCCCCTGCTGCCTTGTGGTGAAAAGCCCCTCTGGTGATCAAATCCCAGCGTCACCTGGCGTTAGGGCTCCTGCAAGAGAATTTCTATCTCAGCAGGCGCAGAGGCTCACGCCTGTAATCCTCACACTCTTGAAGGCTGAGGCGGGTGGATTGCTTGAGCTCAGGAGTTCAAGACCAGCCTAAGCAAAAGCAAGACCTCATCTCTATTAAAAATAGAAGAACTGAGGCAAGAGGATCACTTGAGTCCAAGAGTTGGAGGTTGCTGTGAGCTTTGACGCCACAGCACTCTATCCAGCAAAAGCTTGAGACTGTTTCAAAAAAACAAATAAGGGGCTTGGCGCCTGTGGCTCAAGTGGCTAAGGTGCCAGCCACATACACCCAAGGTGGCAGGTTTGAATCCAGCCCGGGCCCGCCAAACAACAAAAAATAGCTGCAACCAAAAAATAGCCAGGCATTGTGCCGGGCGCCTGTGGTCCCAGCTACTTGGGAGGCTGAGGGAGGAGACTCGCTTGAGCCCAGGAGTTGGAGGTTGCTGTGAGCTGTGATGCCACAGCACTCT